ATGCCTCAACTGACCTAACTATTTGAATGTATGAATGAGTGAAATAGATTTGAATGCTGGTTTAAATATGATTTGTGAAAAAGATAATATTGTCATAAGTGATTCTGCACAAAGTCTAATATTCCCTAAAACTCTTACAAAAATACAATCAACTTATTGAACCCAAATATGTTCTTGGTAGTAACTAATGTTGAAGTTATAGAAGACTATGAGATGCATTACTGTGTTGTTCAGTTTCATTCATATATATAGAAAAAAATGTAGTATATTAGAAAGGTAGAATGAAATGATGTCTTTTCTCGGGGTTTTTCATTGGTTTTTTCTTTTTTTCCGAAGTTTTTTTCAATGGGAGTTGTAATGACATTGTTAAGCAGGCAACACTATATATCTATATATGTAACATACCATGAAGAGTGGCAATATATCCATAGCGAGTACTCAGCATATCGAATGCAGCTATAATGCTACAGACTATGAGGCATGATAGCCTAGGCGTCAGGAATCTGGCGCCCTTACGGAGCAAGTACGCCAACCTGCCTTTCCGTGAGAGATAATCACGTCTGGACAGAGAGAGAGTTATACAGCAGAACGCACACAACAACTAGATGCTGCTGCGCCTTAACGCAAAAGTAATGCTTTAGAGAATCTGTACTTGTCGCCGTTCAATAATAGCTATATGAAATATATCTGGTGTGTGATGTAATCGATCATTCAATAAAATATTTATAGTGCCATAGTTCCAGAGTTGATATATGAGAGAGGACAGTATAGGGCTAATTTGACATCCAGTTAATGTCAACTCATATGCACTAATTATCCATCATTATAAAACATTGGATTGCAATTGTGTCAGCAGTTCCGTTAGCTTTTATCTTTCTTTCTTTGACAGACATTCTTGTAAATTAAAATTTCTCTTAGATTCTCTTATTTGGTGGCCAACAAATTAGTCCTAAGTTAATGTGAAGGATCACACCATTGGAATCTTAAAGGCAATTTTTCGTATAATTTCTTTCTCCTATCTTCGAATTTTGTTCTGGCCAAGTTTCTTTAACATAATGTTTCTCCCGGCTGGCCCATTCTCAAAGAAAACGAGAATATTGGGTATAACCTAGCTGCATTCTCAAGATCAAGCAACGATTTTTAAATCCCCAAATATGTCACTTGTGTTTACGACTCTGAATTGTAAGCATATGCTCCAATCTATCATAAATCACTTTTGTCATTGTGGCATAGTGAAATGCTGATGTGTATTTGCTTGACAACAACTACAGGAAAAAAATCCGGGAATTTCATTTTGTATGGAAAACAGGGAATTCTGTCCGTCTGTGTGTCGGTCGGTCCGTCCGTCTG